TATATATACATATATTTTATTCTGCATGTCATTATAAGCAAACTACATCTGAACAAACGCTTCTAGTTAAGACTAAAAATACCTTTATATGACGGAATCAGTGGTATTAGTCACGCAGATTAAATTGCACGTGTAGGTGTTTAGCCTATAGAATAAGAAAGCCACGTTAAGTTCTACCTGTCAGGTATCAGTGACTGTGGATCTTACAGTAAGTCTAAAGCTCCAGCAGTACTGAGGGCTCCAGAACCATATACTGTAAATGTCTGTGTCATCTCTCGGAGAGCTCCCGAACAACTGAAATACACTTTGTAGGATGTACAAATTTGGTTTTAATAATAATAACAATTTAAAATTCTTGCCTTTTTTTTTTTCTTTAATAAACCAAAAGCCTGATCACTTCAGGGAAATGGGTATTTTCAAATCACCTGTAGTAAAGCACAGACATCTTCAGTTTTAGTAGAGCATTACAGAGGAAGTCTCACTGTGAGAATTAATCTGTGTTGTGGTTGTCACAGTCCCCTGATACCTGTATGGCTGTTACAAGGACAGGGAAATGCAGAAGCCACACTTCTGTTGTCACCAAATGTAAAAACACTTAGCCAAAGTTTTCTTGACCCTTTCGTATACCTTTACAGCACTAAGGAAATGTTCTTTTGAATAATTTTTCAAATTATAAAAATGTCTGAATGTGTATTTAAGCGGACATTTTTTTTTCTTACATGTGAAAAAGACCCTCATAGTGCTGACTGAAGTAAAACAAACCCTGGTCCTGCATACACCTTGCAGCACAACTTTGTGATGGTATAAGGTGCCCCAGTTAGAATGAAGAGGATTTGTAAGGCGCCCAAGAGCAAGGCACGAGTAGCGGGATTTGTATGTCCAAATTCTTTGCTGTAAGGCAGCTAGAGGTAGTTAGACCTTATTTTATTCATTGCTTAATTGGGAACTAACTCTGAGTTCTTTCTGGTGGCTTAAAGCTTAATTTTGCACAGGCCACACTCTGTTGGTCTCTGATACAGCAGGTAAATTCATTGGTTCTCTTGTTATGATTTTACCTATGGAGCAAAATATAATTAACAAAGAAGGCGAGAGGCCTTAAATTAGAAATACTAGTCATCTGGTGGCCTGGCCAGCAGCTGGCTCCTGCTGCTGACTCTGCACTGCTGTGCCTCCGCAGGGATTACGAGTGGGAAGGGAGGAGGTGGGGACAGAGCCAGGAGCCTGTCCTCAGACATGTCACGTATTCGAA